ACAGAACACAACCTGGGTGGCTCCCTGTTCCAGACAAACTGCTGGAAGTAAGGAGTTCCTGAAACACAGAGCCTAATACATTTATAAGTTTTTAGGCTAAGCCCTTACACAGACGGGTATAAAAACATCACGAGTTGGAGACAGTTCGGCGTCTCCTTCTCTTATCTAGACCTCCAGCTGCATGCAGCCGCTGGCCATAACAAAATGAAGAATTCCGTGTGTGTGTGTTGTTACGTGGTGCGTAACTAAAACATTCATTCAGACATAATTCTAGAAAACAATTGGTGTCAAGGTACACTTTTCAGAATCAACATTGTCTTCTAACCTTGAAGCAAAGCACACTAGAGCAAACTTTGAATCTTACTAAACTGCATTACTAATACATTTGATTCAACACATTAATGTCTAATAATTATCTGACTGATTTACTAATTTCTAACAGCCTTCTCTGCTGTTATGTATCTCATGCAATGCTCTTTTCCCAGAGCTCAGTGCTCTGCCATAAACTTTGCCAAAAATGTATGTAGAGCACTTCTCTCTACCTCACTCCATGGCCTTTTCAGCTTTACTATGAGAGGTTCTGCAAATGGGAGAGCATATAGTTTACATTGTGCAACCTTAAATGCATAGACCACACTGTGGATTTTTGGTCAGTGCTCATGCATATCTTTCTGTCACAGAAAGTGCAAAGGTACTGTAGCTTTAAACTACAGCCCAGCTTGTAAGTATTTTTTATGTATTTGGACAGTTACATAATTTGTTCTTCAGTTTCAGTGCTTTGAAATGTAAAAATGGATGCTAAATTGAAGTGCCAACTCACAGCTTTACTTTGAATATGTTTGCATCAATATTGAAAAAACTGCAGGATTGCAATAACTACCAATTTTACTATTTTGGCCTGTTTTCTTTTTTCCTTGGGGCCTCTTAAGTGGGCTTGTTCCTGGGCTCTGATCTACAGTAGTAACAGACAAACATTAGCATCTCTTAGATGGGATGAAAAATTGAAAAGTACTGTAATCAATACATCTGAGACTAACATAGTACTCTACTCATCTTTAACTAATTGGTTACAGTATGAAAACAATCTGCAAAAGACAGGATTTTCTTTAAAATCTCATAATACACAACATTGAGCCCACCATCTAAATCTGAACTTCCATCCTCCCTGTGGGGTTAAAGTCTCTTCTGGGGGGAGCAGAGGTCAGAACCTCAATCTGCAAAGGTTGAAGTGAACTCCTGTATGTATTTCCCCAGTTTTCAACGCCATACTCCAAATATGGCAAAATCAATGAACAATACAAAATCCGCAATGCTTAAACGTCCAGCATATGTCTAATACTAATGCAGTCAACTGTTATGACTTTTTTGATGTTAGGTTAAGTTTGTGCTGAGACTGTCAAACGTGTTAATTGAATTCTGTGTTTTAGTAATCTGATCATAATGAAGTACATGTACTGGACTGGCTTATATTAAGGGGTTCCTGATAGCACCAAGCTAAAAACATTTACACCGATCAGGCATAACATTATGTGTTATGGTTACTCTAGTTTTTCGCTATCTCGTGCTTTTGTTTTGGCCCTTTTCCGTTTTGTCCCACCTCACCTGTTCTCGCTTCACTCCGGTTGTAATCATGACTCATTGTTTTCACCTGCCCCTCGTCATCTCTGTCGGTGTTTCACGCTACATATACTCCTCCTGCTCCGTTTGTCACTTGCCGGATCATTTCGTTCCTGCCTGGATGCAGCTATGTTTCCTGACTGCGAGTTTCATACCGTTTCTGTACCTGATCCTGTGGCCTATTGTTATGGTATCTTCCTGAGACACCTGGCGCCTGCTTCTGTTTCATATAGGCTTCATCCTCTAAGAGCTGTCACTATTGGGTTCATCCCTCGCACATGCACAGTCCTGAAGAGATTCTTTCGCGCCCTGTGCCCTGCACTGGGCTGTCCCCAAACAGGTCTGCTGTGGTGGCATAAATGCCAATGTGACCTGTGATCAGCTCCCTCTTTTTCTTCAGTAGTTTAAATAGCAATTTCCTTGATCATGGCTAAAGAGTGAAATTCCTCCCTACTGGACTCTAGAAAATAGAACGATGGTTACATACAGTAACCCAAGCTTCTATGAGTATAGGCGCAGCTGTTTTCCCGCTGTGTGTGCTAGTGATTTCCTGGTTCATTAGTGACACTTTTTCATCACCTCTCTGAACTCTCGCTTTCTGTCTACTCTCCTGTCATTCTGAGGCAACCTTCACAGTACTTGCAGTGCTCTCCGTTGTTTGTCAACCACTCAACACCTGTCACCCCTTCAAGCTATCCTCTCATAGTTCTCCTGCCAAGGAGCTCCTGCATGAACTCTATTCTCCAGCCTGGAGCTCGACTCCGGCGACTCCAACCTGGTAGCTCCCTCCACGAACACTGATTCTCCGCTGCCTCCCTGCTTCCCTCTTACCAGTTTTTCAGTGACCCGTCTATGAGCGGCGCTCTCCCTGGTCCTGACTGACTACACCTCTCCTCTCCTCCTCATCCACTCTCCTCTGCTCCTCCTGGTTCCTCGCCCTGGTCCTCTGCCTGGTTCCAGCTGATCCTCCTGCTTACTCTTTGGCACACCCTGGCTTCTGGAAGAGTCTCCACTAGATCTCCACCGTCCTGTCTAGTATCAATGAACTGTCCTTTACATCTACGACCTAGTGCCCTTTGTTATAAAAATAAACTGTATACATTCTGAGTTTTTTGCTTTGGGTCCAACCTCACTTGCTTAACCCCTTGCATAACATTATGACCACCTGTACATCTGTATGCACTGCCTTAAGTACAATTTCATTACCAAAATGTTTTTTAAGATCAAAACAAAAGTCAGTCCAAAATATTGTCACATGTACACATTGGAAAAAAATTTTCTAGAGTTTGTAGCTCACTGTTGCAAAAAGAGCATTTTTCTTCTATGTTTGGAATGTATTTATAAATAATGGAGTAAATTTGATGTAAAAGTTTAAAGAAAAGTTATTTAAGTTTGTTGGACACCACACATTTTAGGGTAAAAACAGTGTTCCATATTCTTCCATCAAGAGTCTGGCATGTCCATATATGTTTAACAGCTGTTGTTGTTCATGGAGTGAGGGAGTTTCTTATAGATGTGTTGTTGAATATTTTGTCAAAGATAGAAGTGCCATTAATAGAGATAGCTAAATTGATAGTTGTGTGTGTGTGTTTGAAAAGGAGTGATAAAAACGCCAGATGGAAGTGTGTTAATAACAGTACTGTACTCATGTTGAGAGACGGGGACCCTGTACTTATCTATGAAGTGCTCATAGGAAAATAGAGATCCATCACAATTAAACCGTTTTACAAGTAGAATGGTATTGTTAAACCACTTCTCAACAAACAAGGATTTGTTGTAAGTAATAATGGCATTATTCTATAAAAAAAATATTTATGAGAGTCGTGCTTATATAGGAGAGACTAACTTACAAGGGCTGATTTATGGAAATTGGAGAGTTTGATTGGGAGCTTGCCCACAGTGAAGGGACACAATAAGAATTTAAGACCACCAACCTTTATAAATAGGAAATTTGGAATGATATTCCACAAGTTATCTGGAAGTAACACAGAGGACAGGACTCACTGTCCTGCTGAGCAGGTGGAGTCTACTGACTGATCCTGGACCGAGACTCTGCTTCAGTGGAAGTTTCTAGAAAAACCTCAGGACAGTCCAGTGTTTCATTTGTCACAGTCAGAGGATGTTGTTGGACTGGTCCACTGGCTGCAGAGTCTCAGTCCAGGACCAGGTTTAATGTGGATCTGCAGGTCAGGACTCCAGCTCAGTGTGTTGGTTTGTTCCTGTAGCTCACATGAAGCCACAGCACCTTCACCAGTGGAGATGAGCTGTGTGTTGGTGTGTGTGGATCAGTGTGTGTCTGTGGGAAAGATGTGATGTCAGCTGTTAATAACTGACTGAGCTCAGATCTCACTCTGGTTCACTGATTTCTCTGTCTCCGTCTCTCAGGTGTCCACATTTTACAGTTGATGTACGGCTGTGAATGCGATGATGAGACTGGAGAAGTTAGCGGATATCGACAGTTTGGTTATGATGGAGAAGACTTCATATCATTTGACCTGAAGAGAGAGACATGGATCGCTCCAACACCACAGGCTGTCATCACCAAAAACAACTTGGATCATGACAAAGCTTGGACCAAACGGACTAAAATCTATCTCACCAAGGTTTTTCCTGAGTGGCTGAAGAAGCATGTGGACTATGGGAGGAGCTCTCTGATGAGAACAGGTACGATCATGGTCTGATGTAGATTAATGTACATAACAATGTTAATGTGCCTCTTCTGTCTTACTGTATCTCCACTGTTTCCCTCCTCTTTCGCTCATATATTGCCGTCTTTTTCAATTTCTCTTACTCTTCTCTTCAGCTCTGCCTCCCTCTCACTTTACCCAAGATTTCTTTACTTTCTCTCACATTTTCTTTATTTTCTTCCATTTTGTCTTTTTGTCTCTGATATTTTCTAAAACGTTTCTCTCCATCTCTGACTTTCTGACACCGAGTGTCATCGTCCTCCCTTTCTAATCTCTGTATCTGTCCCTCCTCCTCTCTTCATCTCTTCCTTCCCCTTTGTCCCACCACCCATTTTCATTATTACACTTGCCATATGTGAAAATAAGGTCTTTAATTATGTTCCATCAAACAGGAATGTTTATATTATTATGCAGTGAATTATAATAAACTACAAACTGTATTTGTCTTTACCCCCCAGTCCTCCCCTCAGTGTCTCTCCTCCAGAAGACCCCCTCCTCTCCAGTCAGCTGCCATGCTACAAGTTTCTACCCAAACAGAGCCGAGATGTTCTGGAGGAAAGATGGAGAGGAGCTTCATGAGGACGTGGACAAAGGAGAGATCCTCCCCAACAATGACGGGACCTTCCAGATGAGTGTTGATCTGAAACTGTCATCAGTGAAACCTGAAGACTGGAGCAGGTACGACTGTGTGTTTCAGCTCTCTGGAGTGAAGGAGGACATTGTCACTAGACTGGACAAATCAGTGATCAGGACCAACTGGGATAAAACTGGGATCAGAGGTGGTGGAGGTAAGAAACACCTTTAGTTTACTTTCATCCTATATATATTCTGCTTTTCTTGTGATTGTCTGTGCAGATTCTCAGTCATCCAGGTCATAGTAAATTGAAAAAATCTTAGAAAAAATCAACTGGACTTAGATTTCTAGATCAAAGACGTTTCACCTCTCATCCAAGAGGCTTCATCAGTTCTGACTGACTGGTGTTGAGCCGGAGATATTTATCCCCCTCGGTGGTGTTTCAGTCCTTTGAAGGCCAACAATGTCCCTTAAC